GACCAATCTCCCGAGGTTACTGACGATGCTGGAAGCATGATCAGCCTGACCACGAAGGTCTATTCCTGCACGCAATCGAAGAACAAGCAAGAATATGATAATGCAATCTGAATATTACGAATATATATGAAGTATTGATAATGGTGGGGATCCGTAAGTGGTCTTGGTCTGGTCGTTGGACACAAACGAAATACACGAAGTTGCAATGGCTAACTTTTAACTAAACAAATCCTCAGTAAAAAGCTACTAGATGGATCTACTTATATAGGAGCAAGGGGTGGCGGCCAAGGAGGTGGAAGGACGTCCCAAGGCAGCCTAAAACTAACCCTAGGTCGTACAAGGCTCATGGGCCCAAGTGGAGGTGGTGCAACACCTTTGGACTTGTTGTTTGACTCAGATTCTACTGCAGCGTCAGATTGTTTCATCGATATCTCAACGCTCCGGACGAATTTGAAGGTGATTCCAAATGGGTTGGAAAGAGCACGAAATCTACTTTCCAACAAAAAAGAATCACCCAATTCGGAGTCCGTATGAAAAAGTTGTTGACGTTTTGAGTCAGGTATGTCTGTGCAGTCCGAATCTGAATCCAGAACATAAGAGATTTGGACTCTATCTTCTCTTGGCCCAAAAATGACGTGAGAGGACTTTTTGAACAGAACATAAACTTCTCCTTTTCCCTTATCTTCATATGTGGATTGTACAAATGTCCTATACACCTGCAATTAGACAAAACACAAAAGTGTGTGAAGTATTTTTGTTCTGGATAATATAAATAGATTATTGAATAGTTTGCACTAGAAATCACCTAACAAATATGCAATATTTTTGGTCATATTAGGTAGTCATGTCCTCACCAGCAAGGATTTGCCATGCTTGCTAAAATAATTTATCATCCTCGTGACAACATAATTTGCCATGCTAAATATCTGGTGGGAAAGGAGAGGATCAAGCAAGGGGCAAATGGTCAAAACTCCAAGCAACACAACTTTTGCCGTTCATGCAATAACAGGCAATTTGACAGCTAAGCCAAGGGACAACATTGATGTGAAGCTTACGTGGGAAAAAACAGGCCAAGGATCATACAAACTAAACACTGACACCTTGTTCTTTGAAAACGGCGTCGGAGCAATTGCTGCGATCATCAGGAACTGTCGAGGAGAAGCAGTGGCAGAACCGTTCACATATGCTGATAGCGTGACTACAGCAGAAGCGTTGGCTCTTCGCCGAGGTCTACAACTTGTCAATCAAATGGGCTGCTCCGGGGTGACGGTTGAGTCAGATTGTTTGGAGATTATTTCGGCATGTAGAGGCGAGGTTGACATTTTGGCACCATATTCTGCGATCTTAGCAGATTGCTTCGGGTATGCCCATGACATTGCTTCAATTCAGTTTCAGCATTGTCCGAGGGAGGCAAATGGCTTGGCACATTTCTTAGCAAGACATGCTTTTGATTCAAACCTGATGTTTAGTTGGGACGATGATCCCCCTAGTTTCCTTTTACCACATGTTTTGCATGATGTAATTCTCATTAACTCATAATATAGGGCCGAGCAAGTTTTCCCTTAAAAAAATTTGCCATGCTAAAAGAAATCTGACATTCGATTCATGGTGGAATCCATGATGAAAATGTGTCATTGAGCTTGGGCTCCATGGAACCCATATTTTATTTTAGAAAAATGAAATGAAAAAGTTTCCAAAATATCTTAACAAATTCCACATGTATATATAGATGCATTCTATGTATCTGTAAAATGTTATTATGAGATACTTTTAAATGCGATCTACAAAAAAAACTTGTTTTGAAAATAGCAAAGCACTGTTTGCTAATCATATGCTAAAGTATTACAAATCCACTTTTTTTTCTTTTTTTCAGCTCATATGCTAAAGTATCTTGTAATGAAATTATGTTCATATGTAAAATATATTTATTAATACATGTGGATTTTCTAAAGAATTTTTTGAGGCCTAGATGACAGGCGACGCTTATTCAAAAAAAAACCCGAAAAAGCTATAGAGATGACGTTCTCTACGAATGTTTTTTTAGGGAACACTCTTTAAGTGCCCCTCTAGCAGATTATATAGATGCATGAAATTCACATAACATAAGCATGCTGCAATAGTTCACATTCAAAATCATGCGTAATATAAAGAATATAAAGAGGTAGCAAGTTTGCCCCTACGAATGTGCAATCAAACACAAGAATACATGATCAAACCACGACCGGCCATGATCAAATCAAGCAATATCATTGTTGCCAAGATCGTCGCCACCATCACTGGCCATAGCACTACAATCATCATCTTCATCAAAATTGACCAAAGAATGATCACTTTGCTTCCAGGAAGCACCGCCATCTTCGTTGGCCGGAGCATCAACATCAACTCCATTGGCCGAAGCACCACCACCTCCAAAAACCCCACCACCACCACCTCCACCTCCAAAACCACCACCACCACCATTGCAGAAACATCTACCACCTCCAAAACCCCCACCACCGGAGCTCACCGGGCTGCTCAAAGGAGATCTTGAGGGATTCTTTGTGGGCCTGTCGAGGTGGGTAATTCGGGAGTAGTCGCTATATGCTCTTAGGTGCCGTGGACGGATCATCCGACGTGTGGATGCACCGCTATTATAAATCTGCGGACTTAGAAAATCTCTTCCCTCCCCTTTATTAATGAATGATACGCACACTCATGCGTATTTCAGAAAGAAAAAAAACCCACAACCATCACCATGTCCGAGACCACCATCACTGGCCGTAAGATTTTGAAGCTCCATCCTCCTCCAGCACATAGTCTCCATTCTTTTCATCTCCCAAGATTCTCTTGTCATTGAACCCATGCCCTCTGATGGAGGGGCAGCACGGAAGGGGCGGAAGTTTCCCTCCCGCCAAATCGCGCGTGTGATAGAGTGAGCGGCAAAATGGGGGGGGGGGTGAATATTTGCCGGTTGCGGGTCGAATTTTAGAGCTCGCCGCAAAAAAAAATCGGGACGACCCGTTTTACAAGACCTGGTCGGGATGAATTTTTGTCCCGGTCAAGTAAAGTGGGGTTATTTTACGGTACGGGGCAATATAGCGAATCTGCTAGAGTTGCTCTAATGGGTTTGATCATGTGCAGGAATCTTAAAGTGTGATACATGCCTATCCCCATAGGTACAATGTTCCCTCTCTTGCATCCGTCCATGATATAAGCATGACAATTACTAAAATCATGTATGAAAGCTTCTGCGTAGTAAGGAAACCGTCTTGTATCATGGCAAATTGCATGGAAACTTTCTCTATAGTATCATAGCAATTTATTGTTGTAATATATAGTATCATAGCAATTTATTGTTGTAATATGATAATCCTCTTCTGCTAACATGACAGTTCTCTTGTGTTGCAGCATGACAATTTTTAAATATGAGGGCTACTTTCTTTTCTTTTTATCCTAACACATGACAGCTGTAGTAGGGATAATTGTGTTTTTTTTCTGCACTGTGTTAAAAAAAAGTAATTATCACTACTACAACATGTCATACTTTGAAACATATGACAATTTTCTCTCCTGTAGTATGTCAACTTTCTTCTATAGCATGTCATTTTTTTATTAGCGTGAAAAATCCATCTGTCATAGGACGACAAATCTCTCTATTTTAGCATGACAACTCTTAAACGTTCCCTACGAGCTATTTTTTGAGCAAACGCCGAGGAAAATCGTCGTTCGCTCGTGAGCTTTGCTGAGGGAACGTTCGTTCACCCGAGGTCCTTCTATGGGAACGTGAGCTTCTTATTAGTCTAAGAAAAGTTCTAAACTCTTTAGAAAGTCTAAATTGCTTCAAGTGTTTCTTTTCTCTCCTTCGTTGGCTAGGGCAAATTCTTTCCTCCAGACTTTACCGGCGAGCCTGTGGATTTGCCTCCCCTCTACCTACCGCTTTAGCTGTCAGTGGTGGGGAGAAGAATTTCAGGGCCTTCACTCTGGCTAGTCGTTTAGCTTAGGTTTTTTCTGGCAGATGTCGGCACTTCTTCTTCAAGTTTATTTTTCGGCATCCGATCCTCCTCAAGTTCGTTCATCTGGACGTAGTCGATAAAGCTCCGCCTTAGATTTGCCGACTCTTTGGGGTGGTGAGGTTAGAGTTTCTGGTTGTATGTGTGCGATGAGGAGATTTGGTGTCAGTTGCTTCAGATCTATTCAAGGGTTCAATGACGACGACTATGGTTCGAGGGAACTGGTCCTTGGAGCATGCACGCAAAGACTTCCCGACTAACACTAGCAAGGTCAACCTGGCTCCGGTAGGGGAGCGACAATAGCGGCACATTGACGGCTCGTTCTGGCGCGGAGGCGGTGGTCGTTCGGTGGTAAATTTTATTATTATATTTTATACTTCTGATGAATATTAATAGATCTGGATCTTCTTCTTCTTCCAAAAAAAAGAGACTGAACTGCATTTGACTTCTTAAATGGAAATGCTTTCCAAACATAGACATGTTGAGTTAATTCAAGAGAGCATAGCTGTTCCCGGTAAAGAAAAACAAGTTCGGTCTGCATACAATAAGCTTGTCCGGCGCATGCCTCGAATTCATTTTTCCTTTAAATTACATATTTTTTGGATTTCACACCGGAAACTTAGAAGTTTGAATCCGTTCAGTTTGGATATTGATCGGTGTACATCTTTTAATCGGCATCTGCTGCATACCTATCCTGGCAATCCACTGGAATTTGCATCTGATGGTTCAGTTAGGAGCAAGTACTTGTAGAAGTTGGGCCTCGCAGACGCAGAGCTGGCAAACCACTCTCCAAACACCACCGGCTCCATGGCTCCATGCTAATGCAGCTGTTGATTGCACTCACGTAAACAACTCCACTCCGAAAAAAAAAGTCAAACAATCTGCTTCTGCTCAGCCACACCTCTATATATACAAGCACAGAATCCGGCACGCTCCAAGAAGCACTCACAGCCCAGGCAGCTCTGTCTCTCGTCACTCCAGGCAGGAAAGCACCGCACTGTCAAGTACGCAATGCCGCGCCACCTCGGCCTTCACGGCGTGATCGCCGCCGGCGCGTCGCGCCACCTCGCCCTGCACCACAGCGGCGTGATCGCGGCCGCGGTGCCGGCGGCGGCGGCGTTCCTGGCCGTGTGCACGCTGGCGCTGGCGCTGTGCGCGTCGCACTCGGGGGCGGGGGCGGCGGCGACAGAGCGGCTGCGGCGCGCGCTGGCGAGCGTGAGCCGCCGGAGGACGGACCCGGTCATCAGCATCCACCAGGTGCAGCCCGGCGGCGTAGGGGCCGACGCGTCCCCGCCGCCTTGCGTCTGGCAGAAAGGGATCCTCATGGGAGGGAAGTGCCAGCTGCCGGACTTCTCCGGCGTCATCAACTACGACCCCGCCGGCAACATGGTCGCGCCCGGCCGTCCTCGGGCCTTGCCGGCGCTTGGCTGGTGATCGATCGGTCGACGCCATGAACTCGTCCAATCGAGAGTGACGTGTGTGCTGTACGTGTGACGTGGACTCGTAGCAGTAATCTGCTATGCAGAGTAGCATCCCCACATGGGCTGGAGTGGATTTTCTTTCCTTGCGACAGGGAAAATTCTTAGTATTGGGTATCAATCTCTATTAATATTCTCTTGGGACTTGTGTGTTCCTCTCTTTTTTATCGAGAATCTCCTTATGTACTTTACGTGGCTAAGATTTCCGGCTGAAATTTGTGCCTGAGTTTAGGCGTATGTGAACTGTTTTTTAAGCACCACGTCGAAGCAAAGTAATTCGATCAGCGTCGCCGCCGCCGTACGTCCTGGTCTGCACGACTCAAACACATGCACGCGTGCAGAAAAGACGTGGAATTGCATGTCCAGCTAGTCTCTGGTCTGGTCTCCATCCGATCGAGAAGCATAGGTAGGGTACAATCGATCGATCGATCGATGTCGTGGTGACACACGTGCGGACCTTGGGGACCTCTTATTTCACTTGCTTTCCATGGCGTGGCACACCCGCCAGGGCCGGCCGTCGCCCAGGGCGTGGCGTACGGGAGCCTGGCTCAGGATAGGAGCATTGGGCCGAACCCCTGCATGTTAGCCGCTGAGCCACACGATGGACAGAGGTTAGCTTATCGACGAGCTCGCTCGAGGTCGGCGACGAGTACTAAACGACGAAGGAGGCATCTGAGGATGAGCTGGCATCCTGCCCACGAAGGCACACTTCAACGCTGTCACGGTGGAACAGCAGCCGGTGCCGTCCGTGTTACTGTGTTAGCATTCCGGCAGGCATAGGAGGAGCAGGGCAACAATCTTCGGCTCCTTGACGAGCACCGGCTCATGGAGGGGAAAATCACGGGCGAGCACAAGAAGGATGATGCTCTCGCGGCCATGGTCGCAGAAGATCCGGGCTTCCTAGATGAGCAGCGGGCCTTATACCAGTTCATGCGTAGCGCTCATGACATCCATCGCGGATGCGCCATACGGGCGCTGGCGGCTACGTGTCCTATGGGCGGATAGAGACACCCTCTTCGTGGGGATATGCACGGAGGCAAACGAAGAGGAGGCACAGGTGACCGCAGACGCCGCCAGCTCCGTATCGACCATGCCCCCACCACGGTTTGCTCCCCGCTGCAACAACCACGAGGCCGATCTATCCACGTCCGACGCCGTTGACACGGTGGACTCTGACGAGGAAGAGTAGGCCATGGGACGCCACCATGGCTTGGGTCCTAGGACGACCACACCCCATGTCTTATTCTTCCCCTCCCGCAACTTCACTTCCCTGGGCTCATAATCTGTGAGCTTACCGACATGGGAAAGATATGACGTGGGGCACGAACACTGCCACGACTGACAATCATTTACACTAGGTTAAAAATGTCGTCCGTTTTTTCTTAGTTGAAATATGTCAAAAATATAATGATTTTATTTCAGTTTAAATGAAAATCATCTAGTTTGTTCAAATCACGTTTGAAATGTATGCGCTCATGGTTGGACGACCGGCTCCTGTATCACTGTCCACGGACGCCGCGTTCGTTTTAGGGGTCCGCGTCGGAGAAGCCTTAATGGGTGGAACAATTATCAAGTTGGTTACTAGAGCACCACTCTGTATTCGGGGTGAAAACCCATATTCTAGTCTTACCTAGTTGGAATCAACAATGATAGACTTCCATCATCTCCTTATTGAAGATGTTATCTTTGCACTGATACCGACGATGTTGAAATCCTTGCCTTGCTTTTAAGCTGGAGTTGACGACGTTGGTACAAGTGTGCATTACACTCATTAAGAAGTTTGTTGTGGAAGAATGGTGACAGAGTTTGATGGAAATATGTCCTATAGGCAATAATAAAGTTATTATTATTATATTTCCTTATTCATGATAAAGGTTTATTATTCATACTAGAATTGTATTGATCGGAAACTTAAATACATGTGTGGATACATAAACAAATACCGTGTCACTAGTGAGCCTCTACTAGACTAGCTCGTTGATCAAAGATGGTTAAGGTTTCCTAACCATGGACATGAGTTGTCACTTGATAACGGGATCACATCATTAGCAGAATGATGTGATGGACAAGACCCATCTATTAGCTTAGCATATGATCGTTCAGTTTATTGCTAATGCTTTTTTAATGTCAAATACATATTCCTTCGACCATGAGATAGTGCAACTCCTGGATATCGCAGAAATACCTTGTGTGCTATCAAACGTCACAACGTAACTGGATGATCATAAATATGCTTTACAAGTATCTCCGAAAGTGTCTGTTGAGTTGGCATGAATCGAGATTGGGATTTGTCACTCTGTATGATGGAGAGGTATCTCTGGGCCCTCTCAGTAATACACATCACAAAAAGCTTGCAAGCAAAGTGACTAAGGAGTAAGTTGCAAGATGATGTATTACGGAATGAGTAAAGAGACTTGCCGGTAACGAGATTGAACTAGGTATGAAGATTGTTGGGAGGATGAACCCCGGGCAGGCAACGAAACCCGGATCCTTTTCAAAAACGACGTGGCCAGCATCGCCCCTCAAGCCGGCTTGCGCTTGGCCGGGTTGCTCGACCCGGCCAAGCCCCTCGACCCGACCTAATCCTCAACTCGGCCCCAACAACCAGCTCAAGACAGCCGAGCCCGGCATACCAATACTTCTCCAACAAGCCAACTCCTCCCTTGGCGTGTTCTCCAACCCAGCCGAGGGTCAGCTCCTGTCCCATCCCAGCCGTACGATGGGACGAGTCTCCACCAACTGATGACCGAAGCCGCAGAACCCCGCCCATGCCTCTGGTCAGCCGGACGAGGCAACAGTGCCCCCACCTACCCGCTGACCAGGGCCGCCGTGGCAACAGTGCACCCATCGTCACCAATGACGCCAACAAGCGGCGACCTGATGAAGAGCCACTGTAGCCGACTCAACCCGGCCACTCCCTGACGATCGACAAGACGACCGACAGTGCCCCCGTACCCGGTGGGTCCCATGCTCGGGGAACCCGGTGATGCCTGGTACTCGGCGGGTCCTAGCACTGGGTTCCTGGACACTGACGACCCGACCCTACGACCTTGTAACATTACCATTGTACCTCTGGGGGTTGACCCCCCAGGAGCCCTCATGCATACAGGCAGATAAACTCCTTCACTGGCACAGGCGATCACTCACACACACCTAGCTAGCAACGCCCGGGAAGAGGGAGCTGCTGTCACGCCCTCGATGCGGCTATATCACCCATGTGTCGAAGCATGACTTAGAGGCATAACCACATTGAAAGCAATGTCGCAAGTGAGGTAATCTTCACACAACCCATGTAATACATAAGGGAAAGGGATACATAGTTGGCTTACAATCGCCACTTCACACAATTACATGAATAAAGCATTACATCAAACAGATACAATCAAGGTCCGACTACGGAACCAAAATAAAAGAAGAACCCCAAATGTGACAAGGTCCCCTATCGACCCCAACTGGGCTCCACTACTGATCAACTAGAACGAAACAACACAAAGGGCAAGATCTTCATCGAGCTCCTCCTGAGCTTGGTTGCGTCATCTGCACGGACTCATCGGCACCTACAAGCTGGTTTTGGAAGTATCCGTGAGTCATGGGGACTCAAGAATCTCACACCCTCGCGATCAAGACTATTTAAGCTTATGGGTAAGGTAAAAGGTATGAGGTGGAGCTGCAGCAAGCGACTAGCATATATGGTGGCTAACATACGCAAATGAGAGCGAGAAGAGAAGGCAAAGCACGGTCGATAAAAGTATGATCAAGAAGTGATCCTAGAACAACCTACGTCAAGCATAACTCCAACACCGTGTTCACTTCCCGGACTCCGCCGGAAAGAGACCATCACGGTTACACACGCGGTTGATGTATTTTAGTTAAGGTCAACTTCAGGTTTTCTACAACTGGACGTTAACAAATTCCCATCTGCCCATAACCGCGGGCACGACTTTCGAAAGTTCAAAACCCTGCAAGGGTGTCCCAACTTAGCCCATGACAAGCTCTCACGGTCAACGAAGGATATTCCTTCTAGCGGGAAGGTCCGATCAAACTCGGAATCCCGGTTACAAGACATTTCGACAAGGTAAAACTAAACCAGCAACACCGCCCGAATGTGCCGACAAATCCCGATAGGAGCTGCACATATCTCTTTCTCAGGGCACACTCAGATTGTCCTAGGTACAGGTAGGCCAACCCAGAGTTGCCCCTGGTGGCCACCGGTAGCTGACAGGTTGGACCAACACTCAGAGGAGCACTGGCCCCGGAGGGGGGGGGGGTAAATAATGATGACCCTCAGGAGCGCGACTCCCAAGGGAAAAGAAAAGGCTAGGTGGCAAATGGTAAAACCAATGCTGGGCATTGCTGGAGGAGTTTTACTCAAGGCGAACTGTCAAGGGGTTCCCATAATAGCCCAACCGCGTAAGGAACGCAAAATCCGAGAACATAACACCGATATGACGAAAACTAGGGCAGCAAGAGTGGAATAAAACACCAGGCATAAGGCCGAGCCTTCCACCCTTTACCAAGTATATAGATGCATTAATTAAATAAGATATATGGTGATATCCCAACAAGTAAACATGTTCCAACAAGGAACAACATCTCCATGTTCCAACAAGGAACAAACTTCAATCTTCACCTGCAACTAACAACGCTATAAGAGGGGCTGAGCAAAGCGGTAACATAGCCAATCAACAGTTTGCTAGGACAAGGTGGGTTAGAGGCTTGGTTCAACAATATGGGAGGCATGACAAGCAAGTGGTAGGCATCATAACATAGGCATAGCAAAAGAGCGAGCAACTAGCAAGCAAAGATAGAATTGATTTCGAGGGTATGATCATCTTGCCTGAAATCCCTCAAGGAAGAAGAACGAGTCCATGAAGAAGATAAACGGACGAAGTCGAACGAATCCTCACAACACGACGTTATCGGAACCAACCCGAAGAAGCAACACCGGAAAGGAGC